CATCGGTTGAGCATGCAAATCAGATACTTCCCGAGGCATAGAGCGCAGCCACTACTACCACATGGATCTTTTATTAAAAAAAAAAAAAAAAAAAAAAAAAAAAATGCCGAAAGCCTGAAACTGCTACACCCTGTGATTCTGTGAATTCATTTCTCACTCAAGTCCTTCCCATGGGTTGAATTCTCATTTTTAAACAACAGAAATTCAATACCCATGAAGACTGAACAGCATTTCAGAGTGCAAGCAATCTTTTTTTTGGGGGGGCGGTGGCCCGGGTGGGGTTGGGGGGAGGGTGGGGGGCGCTCACTTTCGGAAATAGGTCGGGTCCCACCTCTTTTCTTGTTCAAGTTGTCTTATTACTTCCATCTAGTTTTACTACGAAAGTAACTGAATTGAACCAGCCTCTTCACCATCCTTCCCCCAGTCCCCTTTCCCTCCCAATTCACCTCCATCGCCACCTCCTTTTCCTTCCCCTCCTCCTGTTGCACCATCTTGTCCTTATCGCGACTTCATCACATGCCTCCTTTTGCAAGTGAGAAAGCGGACACAACTTCACACAAGGAATAGTGGGAGAAGAGGGTGGGCAATGAACTCTACATGCTCCTCCATCTCTTCAGTCTTCTCCCTCCCCTCCTCGTCCTCCTGCTGTTCCTCTCCTCTTCCACTTCTGCTTACGCCTCCTCCTTCTACTCTTTGTTCTCCTCTTCACAGTGTATGTCCAGGTCTTTGATCTCCTCATGGCATGCCCCATTCCTCGCTCTTGAGTGTCCGCAAGATATGGCATTCTGCCTTCGGCGCTTTGGGGGCGCTCGGGAATTTTGGTCAGAGGCTCAGAGCGGCTGGTCTTGTAGCCGTCCTCACTGACAGTGTCCGATACCAACCATGGCTACCTTCTTCGCCCCAATAAAACTCCCGCCGAGTCTCCCGGTAATAATTCCTGCATTTGGGCCACTTTGCTGGGTTCGTTGTTTCTGACCCCAATGAAACTCACCACCTTGCCATTCTGCCAGGCTGTGCCAGCCGTCACAAATTTGGACTGAGCCAACTTGGGCAATTTTTTTGAGAAAATTGAGGGATGTAGATCAATGGCTGATCTCTCTGGAAGTGCAACAGCCAGAAAGAAAAATCGAAGGGGAAAATAACTGTGTTAGTCCCCGGGAGCACGGTTCCACTAGCAACCGAGTAAGGTATATTGTCGCACGGCGACACCTGTGGGACGTCCGGGGGACATCCACCAGCCGTTGTAGCAAAATAAAGATGTTTGTATATTTAAAATTTGTGTTTTAACTGACTTTTTCTTGTTTTTTTTTTTTGGTGAATAACAGGATGTGGGGAAAAGAAATACCAAGTCTGTTGTGATTGGTGGTTGTCGAAAACAAAAAAAAAAAATCAAGTACTCTAAGCCCCTCGAGTACTTCATTTCTTTCTCAAAATATAAGGACTCCAGGCTTGAACATGGGAACCGTCACAGGAGGCAGTCCCGTCGGGCACACTAAGGGACTCCACTCCCTCTCTGTGGTATGTGAGACTCGGATTGCAATCTTCGCGTAGCACTTGTCATAGGTGCACCCTCAGGCAATAAAGAAAGATGGAAGAAGTGAATCTGGCTAAGTTCTGTGAGGGATACATTCATCCACTGTCCATTCTACCCTTCAAGAAGATGGCACAGCCTTTTGCAGCACTTCCAAAGGTCGGGCTCGTCCCCACCTTGGGACTTGAGAAGTCACCACTTTCATTTTCTTTTTTCTCTTTTCTTCGTTTTTCTGGAGTTTTCTTCGTTTTTCTGGAGTTTTCTTCCTTTTTCTGGAGTGTCGCAGGCGTCGCACTAGGCCATGACTCGTGTGCTAGTGGAACCGTGCCCCGGGTGGCCCGGACGGGGCAGGGTCCCGGGCAATCCCAGCGCATAATATTTTAAAAAAATAGAAAATTCAAAAAACTCAAAAAAATCCGGAAAAAAAAATGTTGTGTAAAATTGCAATACAAACGATTTTTGGCTGAGGGGCCATGAGGGCCACCTCGAAATCCCTTACCAATTTCAAGATAAAAATAAATGAGAAAACATGAGTCCATATGTACCCTTTTAAGCCCTTTAGTCACTGTTTATACCCCCCAATCGCCCCTGGATGACCCATCACCAAAACCGAAGTTAAGACTGGATTGAATGGATTCTGACTGCTTAGGCCAAGCGCAGTCTGGCCCGAAGTCCTTTTTTGGGGGGGGGGATCCTTGCCTCTTTTTTGACCCGTCTGGTTTTGCCGGGCGACCTACCCTCTGCCCAACTGGCCCGGGCGTGCCGGAGGGTGACCCGTGCACAGTTCGGAATTCGCAGGAAGGAATAACAGTAACAGGGCACTGTGGTTCTGGGCCGAGGGAGGGAAGTTAGAAACTGCAAAAACAGAAAACTTCAAAACTGTTACAGCTTTGTGCACTTCTAGCCGTTGGAAGTTCTGAAGTGGCAAAATCAGGCGGCCACTCATGTTTTATTTATTTATTTTCCCGCACCTTGACTTTTTTTTTTCCCTGCAACTGCGGCATTTTGTTTTTTTCTATTTTTTGCGCCTGCGGCCTTTTTTTTCTTTTGTGCCTGCGTTTTTTTTTTTGTTTTCTTTTTTGGGCGCGCCCGGCACCCGGGGCTAGGCCACGGCAGAGGTGCTTAGGCCACGGCCGAGGTGTTTAGGCCACACCCGTGGCTGGGCCATGGCCGGTATGTCTTGGCCATGGCCGAGATGTCTAGGCCACACCCGTGACTGGGCCACAGCCGAGATGCCTAGGCCACACCCCTGGGGAAAAGACTGGTACCCGTACTGGTAACTCCCATTTTTGCCAATTGTTGAACTGGCAGGACCGGGACCGCTACCGGTACCTGTTTTTTTTGCAGTTCAGAACTGCACTGACTTCAGATTGCAGTCAGCTGTTATTCCTGCGAATTTGGAACTCTGCGCCAGCTGTTATTCCTGCTAATTTGGACCTCTGTCACGGTGGTGGTCAGAGACTCACAGGCGCAGTCGTGTCAAACATCGTTTTCAAGGTGTATCCCACCCCAAACTCGCTACCATAGCGTTTGGAATCCCCTGAAAAGGCCATGAACCCTCTCGGTAGGTTCTGCGGCATCTCTCCAGTCTTGGGCCCAGCTACAGCTCTCAATTCTAGGGCGACAGTACTCAGCCCACCCTACTGTAGCCAACCCTCTTTCTGGTCAGAGAGTGACATTACCGTGTGGCCCTCGAATCCAGCACTTGTTGGTTCGGTATAACTCAGGCATATGACCACACGAGATAGCCAGCGGGACAGGTTATACGAGCCGTCATTTCCCGTACCATGGAGGCACTAAACGTAAACAGTCACATTAACAGTGCGGCCAAGCACACCACCTGATCATGTTTCTCTTGCCATGGACAAGAGTCTATTATTTTTGGGTTAATAGCAAAAATATTGCTGTTTCGAAGTTTGGCAGCAAAAATTTCGTCCTTTCGAAGTTTCCTTTACAAAAATAGAGGTTTCGTTGCAGCTTTATCGGTTTCCCATAGTTTGCCAGCAAAAATACCACGTTTTGCCCAGT